CCCCAAAACCCCAAAACCCCAAAACCCCTAGTCCAAACCTTGTGTTATAAATATTACAAGCCAAACTTAGATGGTGGTCCAGACTATACTCACTGTTGTAATAGCAACAGTGACAGCTTACAGTGTAATTGTGGGAGGCTCACTGGTCCAGATTTTTTGGATGCTGCTGAACCAGCAGAGGTTGGTTATGTACTTTGTGGTCTTAGGGACTTTTATGAGCGAGGATGTGAGGGATGTGGTGAAACAGCAGAATTTTGGACTTTTTGATATGGGGTTTTTGGAAGATGCAGTCCCGAAGTTGTCAAGAGGGATGGATACTAAGCAGAAGACTGGAGAGTTGAGAGAGATCGGGTTTGATTATGAGAGCTGATTTAGGAGTTATTGGGTGCCAATATTTGGAATTTTGCTGGTTTGGCTGTTCCATGTTTCAGCAAGGATTGTCTTTAAGATCTTCCCTTCTCTCAAAAAGCCTGGATCTAATAATAAAGAGACTGATAAAAAGATTCAAGAAAGCAAACAAGCTATCAAAGAGCAAAATAAGGAAGAAAATCTAGATGAAGAAGAGAAAGAAGGAGGAAATGAAGAAGATAAAGATATAGAAAAGCAAACTCCTGATGACACTGCTATGAACAATACTAATGCTCAGATTGCTCTCAACCAGTCAAAAATGAACACTTCAAACAGAAATACAATGATTGATCCTGTTTATAATGAAGAAGGAGAAGAAACAAAGAGAGAGTTAATGAAAATGAAAAATAAGAAAAATCTCAAGCGAAATAAAAAGAAAATACAAGAAGATACTCAGTCTGAAAATAGTGAAGATGAGATAGCACTACAAACCAAAAAGTCTTGAAAACAGATGACTAAAGCCTTTTGTAAAAGCATTATAGTTAAGCCATGGATCTTGAAAGTGCTTTCATCGAATATTTACTGGAACATTTACTTCAGGTTCATGCTAGAATCTTTTATGGGCATCTTAGTTATGTCTATTAATGAGATCAAAACTAGTGAAGCAGAGACATCATGGCAGAGATTCTCCCTTTCACTAGCTTACATGCTTCTGATAATCTACCTTGCATTCTATGGCTTCGTCTGGCTCATAGGATTCATAGAATACAGGAGAAGGAACGGATATCTAAGGGTGCCCCAGGATGATCAAGATGATAATGCTCGGCTGAAAGGTAACCTGAATAATTCTACTTGTATAGAAGACAAAGAGAAGATTTATCAAGAATTATTTAGTGGCTTAATCAAATCTCCATTTGCTTCATTCCACCAATCTTTTAACTTATCTAGAATTATTTTTATGACATTCCTAACCACTGTGCTCAATGTGTATAACCAGTCAAGCGTATGGATAATATTTATGCTGTTCTTCATCATGCAGATGGGTTATGTCTATCTCGGGGTAAATTACCAGAAATTTGACCATTTGGCTTGAAAAGTTGCCTATATAACAAACGAGATCTTCTTCTGAGCCTATATTGTACTATTTAGCTTCCTCAAAACAGAGGAGGACTGGAAGAGCTGTAAATATTTGAATATGACACCTATAGCTGCAGCTGAAGAAGTAGTACTGGCAGTGCTCTATAGTAACATAGGGATAATTCTGGTTACACAGCTCGTAATTTTTTTAGATAACTATAGTGTGGGTGCTTTGTCCAATCCAAGATTACGTATAAAAGTAAAAGTCATTTTTAACGTCCAGATTCAAAGAATTTCTTACTAGGAATAAAACCAGAAATGACTAATAAGGCAAATGCAAGGAAAGTAAGTAAAGTCTCAGGGACTAAAAGTTATTTAATAAGCAATATATTGGGACCCTGATAGAGGAGATTAGATAAATCTTAATATATTTTGTTAAGAAAGAAATTTTTTACTATTTTCGAGAAATATTGGCATCAAAATTAAATAATCTAAGAGAAGGTTTATTCTGGTTGGCACTAATTCTATTATCATTATAAGAAAATCTCTATCAAACACCTAAAACCATTTTAAGACATCAAATCTAAAATATGTTCACAAACTTACTTAAAACTCTCAATATCCCCATTTCCTTAAAATTTTACTAACTCTTGCTCCAGTCCTCCAAAATCAACGCTGGCACACAAACCATGAATCTCCCAAAGAAGAGTAAATTCTTATCAACCCCCAAAAAGACTTCTAAGTAAGCTCTTAAACTCTCAAATCTCTAGGAAATCCACTTTGAGGATACCCAAAGGTAAAGTCTTAAGGTAATTTTAGCTGGGAAATCATCTAAAAAGAAACAAAATGCTCTTGCAAATAGTAATAAATACAAGCCTTATCAGGAAGAAGTCAAGACCACTAAATCATCAGGTGAGCTTTTGTGGAAGTATAACTCATTTTGCATAGACAAGTCTAAAGGGTTGCTCACTCCTAATAATAAAGGCAAGAAATCAGCAGCAAATAGCCCCAGAGCTGGAGCAAAAGGCAATTTGTTAGATCTAAAACCTTCCCAAGACTTGAAATTTCCAGAGAAATCCGTTGCGTTGAGTCCAAATATTCGTGGATCAAAGAAAGCAGGAGTAAAGACTCCTAAGAAAGGGGATCCAAAGGCTAAAAATTCTGTTTTAAAGTCTCAACAACTCTCAAAGCTTCAGTTAGATGCTTTGGGCACTCCAAAATCTAAAAGACTGCTTCCAGCTCTGACTAATACTAAGAAGCCTAAGAACTTAAAGACACCTAAGAATCCAAAGACTCCTAAAAACCCAAAGAATAACGCAAAGATTCAAAAACAAAAGAAATAGAGAAATTCGATGTTTTATCCTAACAGCCATGCTGAATATTATATCTTAATCTTCCCCTAAAAATATAAATTCAGGGGTTTTGGGGTTTTGGGGTTTTGGGG